GAAGATCATTGCTGGCAATTTCAATCTACCGAAAATACGCTGGCCATCTCAACCAACCTCTATTTTGCACGCCCCTATTCTTTTCTCTATCAGTGCAGTGGGCTGGACACAATGGATTACCAGTCCAAGCAAGTACGCCAATGTACTGGACTTAAAATTCACGTTGGGGATACCCAACCCACAAACCGAGATATTAGACAATCTCCCTGGTAATGGCCATAAAATGATCCGACTCGGTTTCCAAATTAAAATGATCAACAAACTCGCCTCTACACGGCAAATTGCAACCCATAAGAAACGGATTACTTTCAGAAATTCATTTGCTTCTCAGACTGGGATGTATTTTTCCTGTCTACCAATGTGCACACCGCTGTGGGGCAGTTCTATAAAGAAATGCATCAAGCTTTAGTCCTCCTTGCTCCACAACGTGTTCATACCCCACATGTCTCCAAAATTCCATCAAACACTTATTCAGCAAGAAAACCAGAAATTTACCTGTAGGATACAGAAAGACTCATGACTTTTCACTTATCTTACAGATGCACGAATTTAAGCACAGAGTCAGACACGTGCAATTAACTCGGCGAAAAAATGGAGAACACATCACTCTACGTACAAGCTGTACAGCTAGGGAGCTTGTCAAAATACTATCGTAGAACCAGTGACTACTCTCAGCTGATTACCGAAATTGTTAACTGTGAGAACCACTTACTCCGTGACCCAGCTGAAATCTATGAAGCATTCAATGACTTTTTGCCACGAGTCGCGAAGTTGACCCGGTGCTTGTGTGTACAGAGCTCGTAGTAACAAACCTCTTAAGCAGAGTCGATATCTTGCTCAGCGCTATCCATCAAGTTATCAAATCAGTCAGGCCATCTCCCAAGCTGGGATCTGATGGCGTTTTACCAACTACCATTAAACTAGGAGGTCCTGATACACCACTGCTCCTTATGAGCATATTTATTCTATCGCTAGAATGTAGCCACTTTCCAGACCAATGCAAAACGTCATTGATTATGCCTCGGCACGAAGGAGGTCCCAAACAAACGATTGATAGCTACCGACCAATCCACCACACTCCGACAATCGCACGGCTATAAGAAAAACTGTTCAGTAAGGAGCTGATGGAATTTGTTGATTCTATTGGGCTGATCAATAATTCGTAGCATGGTTTTCTTAACAAGCTATCGTGCACCACCTGTCAAATGCATTACCTTAACAACATTTCAGAATCAATCGATCCCGGCTATGCAGTACTAATCCTGTTTCTTGCATCAAGCATTCGACCCAGTACTTTACAAGCGACTGGGTTCAAAAGTTCGAGAAGTTTGGAATCTGGGACCCATTACTAGGTTGGCTATCCTCGTACCTGAGTGGAGGTCATCAAGTAGCCACTCTAGATGATTATCGCTATTCTCCACGCTCAATCGCCAGTGGGGTCATTCAAAGAAGCGTGTTCAATCCCTCACTCTTGTTGCTCTACATCAATGACATCATTAAATCTATACATAGTATGCCATTTGTATTTGCTGACGATATTAGGATCGTCTATAAGCTTCGGCGTAAAGAGCTTCACGGAGCACTGATGTTCATTTACGCTGATTTACATTCCCTTGAGTCACGGTGCTGCACATGGGTTACGAAGCTGTCGGCTAAGAAATCAAACATCTTACGGCTGCTGCATCCCCGAAGGATCTATCACCCTAAACAATGAACACGTCCCTACACAGCTGTCCACACGAGATCTTGGACGTGAGTATTCGTTTACCTTCGATTTCTCCGAACAGGTCGCATATCAAGTAGCACGTGTCAGACAGTCTATATTCAATATATCAAGCAAAATCCACACAACTCGTGCTAACGTTGAGCTTTTCATGCCGCTTACTCTGCCCATACGGGAATATTGCAGCATAACATAGAGTACTATGAAAAAGTGTGACAGAATTGCTATGGAGCACCTGCAGAGGTCGGTTACGAAATATCTGACTGGGAAGCACGTCATTGTGAAATACCGCGAACCTTACAACGAAATTTAACTCCAAGTGCTTTGGATTCGACGATTGAAGCGCAACCTGTTGCTGCTTTTCAACGTGCTACACAAAATGACCTCTTCCGACCGGCCTACACTCAAATTACAACACTGCCCAACTCGAGAGCTTTGCAACAAGGAGTTTACACTGCATGTACCGAAGGCTAGAACGAACGTCCGTTATAATTTCTTCCTGATCAGATACAGCTATCTGTGGAATAAACTACCAATAACACTCAGATGATGTGACAATGAGGAAATATTTAGAGGTAGACTCTCTAGTTACCTTGATGTAACCAGTATAATCTCTAAATTCAAATGGGAAAAATCCCTCTATGTGGTATTCCAAGATATGCCCAAAACTTCTAAACACCAATGTTTTCGTAACTAGTCTTTGGTCTCGACCATCCGCCAGAACCTTACTACATGAAATACATGCCCCAATATTCCACCTATGCATGTCACCTATCTAAGAGCATGCATACTTCTGTACACATTGATCTTTGCCCCTACAGACACGGTCTCACACATCTTCGTATTATTATTATTATTATTATTATTATTATTATTATACTAAGCGCCCGAGATAGCAGACACTGCCTTCAAAGTTAATCGAGGACACAATTAGGAGTGCGTGTTGCAATCCAAGACACACGGTGGGATTTCCAAAACCCTGCAAAGCGTCTAAATCATTTGGAGGTAAGTGGGAATAAGCTGACGACGCCGTACTTCATTCAGGAAGCGCTCTGGCCTCTCTACAGCTTGGGACGAATCTTTCAAGCCGCCGGTGAGAAGCTACTACGCACTTGTGCCAGATAGGATAAAACGTTGCAGCCAAAGTCCTTACTAATGTGTCTTCACCGTCGTTCAACATCGATAATGAAAGGTCGTCGGAGCTGTACACGTTGTTCCGTCTCAATAGAACCTTCTCTCGTCAGCTCTTGCTGACGAAGTGATTCAGATCGACAACATCTTAGACCTTCCTCAAATGGCCACTGAACTTAGCGAGCAGACGCTATCACACCACTTAGCTTTTCAATTTTAGTTCATGACATACTCGAAATGCGTTTGGACTTACGTGTCAAAAATAACCTAATTCGGGTACAGCTTCGGTGACTGAAGTGGTCTGGGCTCCAGTAAAATAATTCTTAGCCATAATGATAACCATCATCACCGTTCAAATGTTTGGCTAGTAACTCAGAGCATAGATTGCATTCATCCCAACTATGCAAGTAGTTCTCGCAAACCAAGCTGGTCTAGGAGTGAAATAGTGCGCTCGAGCAACAGGCCTTTGGCCTATACTGGCAACATATTTCCGAAGAAGTTGTTCAGTGAATGCAGTAACCTAAACAAGAAATGGAGTTTGTCATCAATTATCTAGTCAAAATTAAGTTCTAGGAGCCTATAGAAATTGGGTGTTGCCCTCCCGAAAACACTGCATTGCATGACGCGTTTCGATCTCATTTGATTCCATGGCACGGAGATAGCAAGCCTCAAACCCGAGACCGTTGGAATGTTAGCCAAAACCTCTATCCCGTTACCCACTAGGTCTCGACGTGCATCGCATGACACAACCGTTAGTGACTGGTTGCAAAGTCATTCTAAAGTACTGGTGTGAATATATTGTGCGTCGCAATCCATTCACACAACGAGTATTTCAAAATGACCCTCCAATCTGTCATAAGCATAAATGTAATTTAAACCGAAACCGATTTCAGGCGATTAATGATTATAAACTGTGACAAGAATATTGCTAATGGCTAATTACAAGCTGTAGTTTAACAAAAATTTATAATTTTCGAATATTATACACAACAACACAAGTTTGTTTTTCCATCCTCATCCGAGAACTGCATATGCACTCCGTTAGATAGGAGATAAACGTAAATCGGGATAGAAATAGAAGCGTAACTAACCAGCAAACAAGAAAGAGGCCAATGTTTATTCGTAAATTTTCCGTTTCTAGCGACAATCTACTCCGATTGGATCGGGTAAAATCACCCGACAGGATTGGAATGAGGACTAGTTAGAAACTTGTCTGTCCTAGCAGGGGGAGTATTTTTGTATGTCGCAATCAGCCGACAATTCAGCTAAGTCAACTACCTATCTGGAAAAGCACCAGACGGCCGTTTTGCCCCTACGAATTCCATAAACGATATGTCGATTCATAGCTGCTGTGACCGGGAAGTCCTGACACCGGAAGGCCAACCACTGTCATCTGCATGGCAGATGCCTGCATGACAGTGGAGGATGGGTCGGACTATATAGCAGTCAGCTAACAATTCGTGCTGGTCGGCTACCGTCCTCCATGGCGCAATTGCATTAGCTGCGGGCTAATTGGCACCACCCACTAGCACTCATGGGTTTGATCCTCGGTAGAGGACCGAGATGCGCATCACAGACGAGCCCCAATAGGGCGAAACGGCCGTCTGGTGCTTTTCCGGATAGGTAGTTGACTTAGCTGAATTGTCGGCTGATCGCGACGAACAAAAATACTCACCAACATCCTTCTACTCATAAGTAATACTAGCTGGGGAGTTTTATGCGCCATTTGAATGCCTATTAGGTTCAGAAGTTTGTTCTCGCGGATCAAACATGTGCCGGTGTCGCCTGAGCGAAGCTGTGCCTTGCTAGGTTGATTTTCTAACACAAAGTTTTCAATCCGTTGAACTCTCGATGCAGGCCTGACTCCTGTGCTGTTTGTCCAGGGAACATTGGAACTTACGCCACTAACAAAGTCCTGGCTATTTCCCAAAATTTGCGATAAACAAGAGATTTTACACGAGTGTATAAGATTGTTGTCCGTTTGAGACATAACAACAATAACTGTTTATTTCATTTCAAAGATTGCCATTACTAATAGTTTTATGAGTTTCATGTCTTCCATTCCCCTACACTACACTTGGTAGGTAGACAGTATCATTGATTTGTCCCGATGTTATTCGCTCAGGATACTTATTTGTTTTTTCAGGCCGGATACGGCATCCCAGCTGAGCTAGTGATTGGACCACGGGTGCAAATATCCATTAATGTGGAGCACGGTAAAGAGGTAAGTGTAACGTCTTATTTCAAAAGAACACGCTTACCGAGTAGTTTGCACTAAAATGAACGCTTAGAAAATTGCTTTGTGAAGGTCTTAATAATACCGTTCATATGGCACTAGAAAGTCTTTCGTTTACTACACATTGCAGTTTATCTGCAATGCTTTCCAAAGCACTGTACGAAAGCGTTGATAACATGTTATGCAAACGAAAAGTAGTCAGTTTGACCGCTGACTCTTATAGTTAGTAATCTGAGCAAATGCCTCAACCTGGAATTAACACAATACTGAAGGGTCGTATTGATAGGTGTTTAACACGTCTTACAAAGTAAAGTCGATAGCGCTTCACCGGCACTCCCCCTGGTATATAGCATTTGTTTACTAACTTGTTGCAGTTGTTCTGTATAAAATATTGGAAAGAAGAAAGCATAGAACAGTGTAGTATCTACATACCGCATATATATATATATATATATATATATATATATATATATATATATATAGAGCTTGGTGGAACTTTCTAAACAATCTGTAAATCAAGCGAGCTAAGAGGGAGTGGTAGGAATAAGATTAAATTCATATCACAGTAAAAATAATTGTGTACAAAACCATTATCGTTAGCAACCGTATTGGCAATAAGGAAGGATTCGGCCGACAGCAGCAGTGGAGTGATACAGATGTTTAGCTTTGGAGCAGTGGGTCACCGTTTCGAATCTGCAAAGTAGCTTGTGAATTCTCAGAATCCTAGCCCGTATGCGGTGGCATGAAAACGGAATATTAGCTGGAGGTAATGTGTACTGCTAATGTCTTTACACTGATGCCTCGCCACCAACTTGACCTTATAATAATATGTATATATATATAATATAATAATATATATATACTAATTATTATTATTAAAATACTGGACGGGAAGGAGGAGGGGAACTCATGGTAAACTATCAATATCTCCATTCAACGCTCACGAGCCAGGCCCTAAGACTGCCGACAACGTTTTGTCATATACAGTTGATTATTGTACGAGAATAATGCAGTATCAACACAACAGTTTCTTGGTTCTTTTCATTTCCCTGCATCTTAAGCAACTTTAACCATACGGGTTACCCAACGCATGCAATCGTTCGACATTAAGCATTCAGTTAAGGTCGGTCGCATATTACTAGTAAAGTCTCGCGTCGCATCAGATCCAGTCTAGAATACGAGACAGACTAGCAACCTTGAACTTTGTGACCACTGAATTTATTCGGTTGTATAGACAACAGTCGTTTTGTCAAAGCCCACAATATCCTAACTGCAGTAAGAAAATACGATAGTTCGCAGCACGTTGCACCTGACATAGGTATCACAATGCCGTTATAGCCTTCTGAGAATCAAAAAAGTATGGGCCTGAATCATAATTCGGTCATTCAGAACAACATCTCGTTATATATCTCGCTTTAATTAGAATCACTCACAAATGCGGTGCAATTTTACTTGATATTGATTTTTTGGCTGGCTCTCTAGCTTCGTTCATGTAGGCACAAATCAGTTGCGTACCACCCTTTAGCTCACGTCGGTGGCGATCAATCAGTTAACAGCCCTTCGGTCCGTCCAATAAGAAATGATCATGCTCGATGTGGTATCTTGACACACAGCACAGTGTAGCATTGATTTGCGCAATTCGGAAGCATAGGCACCACTAGACAAGAACAGCGCTCCGTAGGCAGCGATAAACAAGGCTCTGATGGTATCTGGTATCTTCTGACCGAAGCCGCTAAGTTCCATCGTGATGGAGTTGGATGTTTGTTCGTGTTGATCCAGAAGCGCGTCCTTTACGACCAGTGGTACACTCAGCACGACACCATACATCAGATAGATTCAAGAACACAGCCGTTTCTTACCAAATATGTGAACCTATGGTATTAGTTGTTCACCGGGCACTACAACGGTAGTGTTTAGGATAGGTGAAGCGGTCGCATTTTCCGCCTCTTAACAGGCAGTACTCGGGGGATTAGCGAGTGATTGGCCGTCCTGCATGGGGAATCGGTACTTGGAAAGCGCAGTGGGCATACCACAGGATTGAACTAACTCAAGTTGTCAGTCTAGATTTGACTGTGCCGACTCGCGTAGGTCAGAGAACGAGGTCATACCGTCCAAGATATCAAGCAGTTTTCGTGGGGACAAATCCAGCATGCCTGCACTGAAGAGTGTACAATGTAATACTCCATTGCAATTGTAGGATGAACCTGAAAAGCACCTGGTAAACGGAATGACAAAAATGAACAGCATTCCTTACAGGAAGGTGTCTAATAATGCCGTAGGACCTGACCGGACGTATGGGTTCATGTTCCGGCGTACAATGTCCACATATTTCACGGGAGCTGAACGGAAAAGCGCGAGCAACTGCGTCACATACCCACTTGCTGCCGAGGAACGCCGCTGCTGTCGCACCCACTGTACAACGGAAATCTGATCCGTGCCGGCCCCGTCCAGGTTGAAAACTGTCTGTTCTTCTTTCGTGCGAGATTCCATCGTAATAGTGACGAAGTGGACTCGAATGCAGACCGGTAACTAGTTCAACATTTACATTGAGATAACCCCACTATGGTCAACCTGGATGATACGATTTGAGTTCTGTAGTGTTGCCGCAATGCTCACCTCCCCCAGTAGGTTGGGACAGTCAGGGCTTTGTACTTACCTTCCAAGGAGAATGGTAACATCATCATCATCATCAACAGCAGTACATCAGCCATTTGAACTGATGCTTCGCTGCCATACAACCATGAGCACCCATGAAGTAAAGAATAAGAAAAGGGAGAGAAGGGGGACTTACCTGAAAACCTTAATGCCCTAAGCAAACATTCAAGGTCAAGGCGCCTACACCTTGTGTAGACAACATACCGTCACAAACAGATGGCTATAGTCCAAAGATAAGGCGGCATCGGAGAGACAGCTTCCTTGCGGCTTTCACTGCCACGCGTCATAATCAGCCATTATCCCGCAGATAACTCAGCACCAAACACACTTTAAACAGACAATCCGATTAGGAGACGGCAGCAGACGCGCCACTGGTGTCGGTTGCGAGCCATGTCCTGTAAAGTCTCGAGCCAAGCACAAGGCGAGTCACATGGACTCCAGCCCGGAAGACGAGACGGACCAACGGCACCCAGTTTGGTCGTCAGTGACTTCATTTCCCACTGCCAAGTCAACTTCTGTCCACCTCGAGCCTTGCGCCACCCTACACCTGGCAGACTGAACAAGGCCCTCCTAGGTAAGCGGTGACCAGGCATGCGTAGCACGTGCCCGAGCCAACGCAACTTATTCAGTGCTATCTGTTGTTCTAGGGAGCTAGCATGATTATCACCACCTAGTACTCGCCTACGCACATCATCGTTGCGGACACGCTGGTGCCATCCGACACCAGCAATGCTTCGCAGACAACGATGATCAAAGACTTGAAGGCGCCTCAGATCTGCAGACCGAAGGGGCCAAGTCTCACTACCATAGAGCAGAACGGCCCTCACTGTGGCCTTGTATACACGGCCTTTCAGACGGAGGGAAACTCCCTTCTGTCGCCAAAGATGACGCAGGTTCAAGAAGGCAGCTCTGGCCTTTGCAATGAGTGAGCTGACGTCAGTTTCTATGCGCCCATCATTGCTGATGCAGCTGCCAAGATAAGTGAAATGATCAACCACTTCGAGTTCCTCGTTAGCAAGCGCCAAGGGGTCATTAAGTGGCTGGTGGTCCTGCAGCAACACTTTGCATTTCGAAGGTGCGAAATGCATACCAAATAATAGGACCACTCTGGACAGGCTATTCAGCGTTGATTGGGCCGCCTCAACATTGTCGAAAAGCAAGACGATATCGTCCGCATAATCTAGATCAACTAACCTTTCACCAGGCAGCACTTCAACGCCTACATCGTTGGATTCCGTCAGGGAACACTCCATGATAGAATCCACGAAGAAATTGAACAAAAACGGGGAAATCGGACAACCCTGACGAACGCCACTTGTAGTCGAAAAGCTATCCGATAGGACACGATAGACCCTGACGCGGCCTCTAGTGTTCGAGTACAGAGCACGAAAGATGTTCACATATTTCGTGGGAACACCTTTCCGCGCAAGTAATTCGAACAGAATCGATCGATCGACTGAATCGAACGCACTCTTGAAATCGAGGAACACAGCTATTGTCGGTCTGCGGTATGCGTGGCGCTGCTCTAGCACCTGCCGCAATGTAAACATATGGTCTATGCAGCCACGTCCTGGGCGAAAACCGGCCTGCTCTTCCCTAATCCGAGATTCCCGTTCTGCAGTGAGGCGACGAACGATAATCGAGGCCAGTAATTTTGTCACAATTGGCGTTAGGCTAATCCCCTATGGTTCGCACAGTCTGTGCGACTGCCCTGTTTGTATATTGCCACCATAATCGATTCGCTCCAATTAGCCGGCACACTCTCTTCGTTCCAGATAAGTTCGAATAGGGAGGTCAGTGCTTTGCAGAGGATCTCACCTCCATCCTTAAATAATTCAGGTGGGAGGGAATCCGGGCCAGCGGCACGAAAACGATTGAGGGCTGTGATCGCGTTTCGGACCTCGGCCTCCGCCGGAGGCTCTAAACTAACCGTCCATAGTTCGTCCTGCATCACCTGAGTAGGAAGAGGTCCGGGAGCAGGGGGCCAGCTGAACTGATCTTCAAAGTATTCAGCCCAACGAGCCATACGGCGCTCCTTATTGTGTATTAGCGCACCCGCGCTATCTCTGATTGTCTCACTGACGCCTGGTTTTCTGGGACCAGTGGCGCGGATTAGCTGGAAGAGCTTCCGGTAATTGCCTACTGCTCCTGCCTCCTTCATTTCTTGAGCCCGACTGGTCCACCAGGCTTCCTTGTCAGCACGTAGGCTCCGCTTTAGTTTACACCTAATAGCCCGTCTGGTCACATTGTGTTCAGAACCAGCCGGGAGGTGTCTTCTAGCTTCCAACAGGTTCACGGACCTCTCGGATATCCAGTGACTGGTGCGGTGACGA